CCTGGGGGGGGGGGGGAGTAGATCAGTTTTTTTCTGGTGGCCGAGTCTGTTTATGTTCGCTGCAGTTCTAAAATGGAAGTTCTATTGTATTATGAAAGGAAGGTGTTTCACTATATGGCACCGGGCACGTGCTGCAGTCGTGCACGCTGTAGCTCCAGCACGCAAATAGCAGTGGAAAGTGCGGATTTTTGGAAAGTCTTCGGTGTGGTTGGCAGTTTGGCTTTTGGTTCGGTCCCTTGTGGTGCCTCAGGCTACATGCCATCACGCTGCGTGGTGCCATGTTATGTCTCAACACAGTAGTAGGTGTTCATGTTGTTGTGTTTAGTTGTGGTTGGTGATATGTACGTTCCGCGTCTCCCCTCGGTGTCGACAATGAATGTGGCAAGTTGCCGCCGCCAGGGGTTGTCCTTGTCTGGTTCGCATGTCGTATGAGCACTCTCTTGGGGTGTGTTTTATTTTGTCGACGATTCGCTCTTTCGTGGGAATTCTCAAACGTTTTTTTTTTGTTGTTGTCGAAGGCGCCTCCCCTTGCTCACCTCGGAGTGGACAGAGCTGTTTCCCACGTGGTCGTTCTGATGGCGCGTCGGGGGCGTCTCAGTTGTTGACTGTACGGCTTTGGTACGTGCATGCGCTTGTAGCGAGCGCTTAATGGTAGTATGCGGGTTGGTCTGCAATCGTGGGGAATTGAACGAGCAGGAAGCTTGGTGTTTGATCCCGATTCTGTTGGTGGTTTGCGATTGGTTCGGTTTTTCGGTAAGCCCCATGTGTGCCGAGCGAAGTTCGTCGCATGTATTGCAGCAGCACGTTTCGTCGCCCGCACCACCGTTGGTGTGCAAATGGAAGGGAAAGGGTGAGGATCGTCGTCGTTGCTAAGCAGTGGTAGGGTCTCGTGGTAAACTACAACGGGCAATACGAGTGCTTTTTGATGGAGCAATTTTTCTCTCTTGTCTTATTAGGTTTGTCTGAGGGTCATGATAGGTGTAGGACCAGGGACTTGGTCGAGGGGAAAGTTAGAGAACCGTATTTGTAGTAATGGTGGTCGTGCGCAACAAGGGTGCCGGTGTTGTCACGGGAAATATGTTACGCGTAGTTGGCGTGTTTGTGATCAAAAACGTTGGAGAAGAACTGCCGCGGCAAAGATATGTGAGTGAGCGGGGCGCGCTGCTCGGAGAGATGCGTCCGTCGCAACCCAGTTGTAATCAACTGTTGTTCCCGAATCGAAACTGTTTTGAGGCCTTAATGAGTTGTTGAGGGGTACGCCCTTTGATGTCTTGAATGCTGGTGATGAAGGCGTGGTGAAGCACTAAATATTGATTCGATGTCTGAAAAATATGGTTTTGCCAGGCGCTATCAAAAGCAGTGTGGTAGTTTACTATTTTGATATTAAATTTCCCCTGTTCCCTTATTGTCTGGTGAAAACGGATGCGTGGATCCGTCCATTCAAGCACATAGAGAGAGGCACCTAAGCATGGAGCAGAAAACGACGAATATCTTACACACAACATACAAAAAGCATTTGGAAGTTGAGAGTGAACACTGGTGATGATGCTAGACGACAGTGTTATTTTGCTGGGCACGCCTGCAGATTGTAGACCCGAACCCAACACATGTCTACGGCGTGGAGGCCGGCGGCGTCGTCGAGAGATTCATGGCATTTTGCAAGAATATGGTTCCTCAAGGTCGGCATGTACCCGAGGCAGTAGTCGTCAAGGACCCGTGTGCGGACGTTTTCAGATATCAGTGACGCCTGCTGAAGACTCTTGAAATAATGTGTTGGGCCTTTTGGTGTCCCGGCGGGACTAGACTATGTACGTACGACACCCGCAAGAGGTCGCGAGGTATTACTAATATGTGAAATAATTTGTTGAACTTGCGCGGCTACAACGACAAGATCTGGAGAAAAGACGATAATACGATGGTACAGCTGACCATTGGGTGAATTGGTCCGTGACCACGGAAGGCGTCCGCGACAGTTAGAACGGTACGGAGGAAGACCTGCGCAGAGACCGGGACGGTTTACTCACGATGATGCGTACGTACACCACTGACAAAAAAGCGCATGTACCGGCTGTGTAACTGCCGCGAATCTGATTGGCGCGCTAGGGAGGGGCCGACAGTCTTTTCGTATCGCGGAGCCCCCCCTACTGCTCGTCAAGTGTCCGAGCAGCAGCACAGCAACGTAAGTCTCTCACCTCTCACAGTGTCGACAGCAGCCGCCGCAAGACAGGGATCACTCACTTCTTCTGGCAAGCTGCAAGCGTGGGCAGCGGACAGAAGGGGCGATGAGCGGGTCCTTGGGACAGCACACGGGTGTGATTGCGGCGGTCGTGTTCGCCCTCGTTGCCGTTGCTGCTACTACAGCTGTCGCCCGCAAGTGGAAGAGTGGGGGCTCCAAGAGACGCATGCTGGGGGTGAGCACACGGAGGTCTTGCAGGCGGGAATGGTGATGAGCAGCTGCCACGTCACGCCCCGTATTATGCGTACTAGTACAGCACTGGCAGCAACAGCAGCGGCGAGTTTTTTCAAGGATTGGATGCAGAGCGATTGCCCCGCTCCTGATCAACCAAGCAACCCGACTGACTACTGTCTGTCCGTGCTGTCCTTCACATTCTTGTACGTGCAGGTTTCCCCCCGCGTAATCCGTCGTAGCCCACGGCCACGGCTGCTTTGGAAAACAGTTTCCCAGATACAGCTTGGACATGTCTGCAATCCCTCTAGGAGAGAATATGACTGCTGTGAATTGATTGCGGCTACGATCGTTTGTTTCCGCGTGTCGTGGAGCGGATCACCCCCTACACTGACGTTAGTTGCCTCTCGCCGTGCCTGAACCATTGTTGTACTTATTCATTGATTTCCATGCTTTTCCTGTACTCCTGTGTTATCGCCGTTACTGGTGGCCTCAGAACATCGCTAGTGGTCGCGAATTTATCGATACGCTATCGGCAGAGGTGGCGGATTTGGAGGCTACGATTGCTCTGGCAGCCGAGGCTTCCGACCTTGACACTGCACGACAGGAAGTAAGCCGTTCAGGAATTAAAATAATCTTGTTGGGGGTGCATGTCACGTCGGGAATTTTCGGGTTTAAATACAGGTGATTCGCAGCCACCATTGAATGTGCTAGGTTCACGTTGCGCCAAGCTAGCCGACCCCCTTCAAGGTTCACGTAGGCTGGTGACGAGGAGGAGTTAGCCCTGTAGGGTTGTTGCTACTGTTGTTGTTGTTGTTGTTGCTGTTCTTGTTCTGTTCTGGTTCTATGTTCGTTGTCCCTTAAACAGGGGCAGCGAAAAGACCGCACAGACGATCGGTCTCTTCATCCCATTGTCTCACGTTTCTGGGAAATCGCGCATCGTCTTGTTACAAGTTACCGTTGGATTTGAGCATCAAAACAAACACCCGCCCGCCCATTCTCGCCCCTCGTTCCCGCCGCGGCCCTTCCCTTGCCTCCAAACCTCCACGAAGCACGAGAGAAAAAGCAGAGAGCATGACGAAAGCGTGACTCAGGTTTTGACGCACCTGGACAAGTGCACGGGGGGTGGCGAAATAAGCGTCGCCCGAAAAAAGCAGGTGATAATTGAACGCAAGCGTCTTTCCTGCGACAAAAGCGCGGGACAGGGTGGAGCGTAGACGGTGATAACTGCGGTGGCGCAACTCCAAAGTGTTGCTTCGATCCGATGATGAAGTCCATTTATTTATTTTTCTGTCGGTAGGACTCAAGGAAGGTCAGTTCAAACAACAGCGACACGAACAGCGATGAAATTCTCGGCTTCTGTGCGTCAGGCGTTTTCTGGGGAATAGTTCCAGTCTTCCTTTTCGTTCGACCCGGGCAAGCCATACCGTTGTTCACGCTAATTTGCCCACACCTGTTGCCGAGCCATGTAGCGGTAGGCGGCGGCCGCGACAGAACCACATGAACTGCCCGTCGATTGCAAAGCTTTCTCGACCGGCAAAATTCGTTTTCAGCGGGCTGACCGCTTTCATGAAACCATTTGTAGCACAATCTGTGTATCTGCTCATGTGTTGTCGGCCAACGACTCGGCGCTTGTATTCCACGTGGCGCACTCTTGCGGTCGTTTCGGCCAAGACGTTTTAGCTGCTGTAGCCTTCGACTAATTGCAGGCGTCAAAACGTCATTTCGTGCTACTGCTGCCGCCGCCGCCGCCGCCGCCGCCGCTAAACCCGCTCCCGAGCTCTACAAGTTGTGTCACAAAGACGCAGTCGAAAGCACGCAACTTTCTCAAACCAACAAGTGAACGGCCGTTCCACCAGAGTTAATTGTCGCGGGCGATGCACACAGCATACGGTACACCCCTAGTTGTCGAATGATTATTTTCATCTTTGTGTCTGGCGTTTTTTGGCAGATCCATCGAGCAGAGGCCTTGGGGCTTCGCATCAGCAATATTTTGCCTGGGGGGCACGTGGATGGGTGATCAGAGGGAAATGGGGCGCAATGTGTCAGACCCATCAACGTCTCCCCAGGATATTCGATTGGCGTGGACGGGAGCGCTTCTGCGTCTGCTCGTGTTTTGCGTCACTGCCTTGGCAAAGGTCCATCATCCAGCGCTTGCTTTCTCAAGAACATCCTTGTAAAGGGAGCACAGCAGTACTGTTGTTGCTGTTGTAGTTGGTCGCGTTGGTCATGGGTGCTGCATGTTGTAAGGAATATGCTGTAGTCGGTTTATGGTGGATGTGCCTGCCATTTTCAGGGCCGGTACCTCACCTTCACTTTGCATTGAACAGCTGAACAGCAAATGACATGCTCAGCAGCGGTCAAGCAAGCACCACATTCAAGTCACGGATGGAGGTTAGAGGCCGAAATCGAGCCCGATCCCCCTTTCCCCCTTTAGAGATGTGTGTTTATTCTGTGTGTTCCCCTATGACTTACGTTCGTGCGCCTTTGGTTTTGCGCCGGTGTTGTTTGTTTCATCCTTCGTGCAGTTTTCATAACGTTTGGCGCTCTATCCCGCGAGGCTTTCGTCAAATGCGGCGCGCGAGAATCGGTAGATGTGTTTGGCACTGTTACTCTCTCGGGACCTGGCTGTTCTTCTGTTTAGCATGCTCAAGCTCTTCCGGCCGCATCGCCCACTTTTTCCCGAAATTGGCAGCTTCGCATGAAACAAACGTGGTGTATCCTTCTGTTGTGAAAAAAAAAGCAAGACATTCTGTTACGACCAGCTCCATCTGTTTGACGACGGACGCGTTTTCCCGTGCCGTCGAGCCTGTTTTTCCGCATCTCGTGAAGCCTACGTGCTTTTTACTGCAAGTTTGACGTAGCACGGAGTTGGCGCACTCCTTCCATGTCAAGCGTGGTGATATGCTTGTTTCAAGTGAATCTCTTGATCGTTATCATCCACCTACATTTGGACCTTGTGGAAGGGATTCGTGGTGGATGTTCCCCCAAGTGGGTCCACACATGCACGCATCCCACCGCAAAAGTGACAGTGGTTGGTGCAACCCTGTTTTGCTTTGCTCGCGCCACTTTTTCCGAAGGAGTGTGGGTCGACTGACATAGTGACCGATTCCTCCTCGCGGTGTCAGTTGGATACGACTTGGCGAGCATGTTGCTAATGTTCGCTACTATTGAAAAAAAAGGTCTACAGTAGAACTTGTTGTACGTTAGAAGGTTCAAACCCTGCACTACTGCTGCTACAGTAACGTTTGGGATTTGTTCCATCGGGAAGCGCCAACAACAATAAAGCTTGCTGTGGATCATCACGTTTCTCGAAAAGGTTCTTTCATTCCCGAATATCTAAACCATTACACACATGAAGCACATGGAAGTTCTGGCATCCCCCCCCTCCCTATTTGGAATTTTCCACCATGTCAAGTATTCTCTCTCTTTCCTTTGGAGAATTTGTACATACCACCGCTTCTTCGAAGGATGCCACCCCCCCGACAACTTTGGCCTGGAAAACAACTACGTCGGAAGTTTGGTCCCGGGAGGTCGAGGGTCAGAGACGTTGAAAAACGGTGCCACCCTCGTCTGAACGACGTGGCCCCGGTGTTGGCATATATTCGCATGGCATGCCGGTCAGTCGTTGGACCGTGGAACTTGCATTCCTGCAATGGGACGGAGGTTTTTGTCGGCCCAGTCTATTTTTCACAAGCATGAACCAGAAGCTGGTCATCACCCTTCCTTGCTTTAGCTGTGCTTCACCAGACATGCCATGGGTTGATTGGGATTCCAGATATACAAATATTTACATTCGGTAGGCACGACCATGCTTGAAGTATATGGGGGGGGGGTCTTGTGGATCTTCACCAGAAGCAGCAACTTTTTTTTTTTTGTGTCTTTCTTTCTTCCCACTCCCGGCCAGTGTTCAACCTTTTTCTTATCTTCTTGAAGAAAACGACGTAACGACCTTCCTGTGACGTCTCCCCGTTGGCAAAGGTACATCAAGTGTGAATTCGTCGTGAGTACTCCGGGGATACAGCAATAATTCTGTGAACAACCAACTTTGAGAGTGCAATTGAGGGTTGTTGGTGGGTTTTGGGTTCCCCGCACAAACACTAGACTACCTCTTGCGGTGGACTCAGGGTTTGACCACGTGGGATGGCACAATCAAACAGATCCGGTGAACTAAACGTGTCCCAAGAGTACCGGCGATTGGCCACTTCACTCAATTCGGGTCTTTTGCAGGACGCGCCTTAGAGTACACAAGTGGTGACTGATACCGCGGCATTCTCGCATATCTGTCGGGCACCCCTCCCACGAACACATCAGTCCGACATACAATGAATGACCGTTTTGATGTTGTACGCTGTAGCATGAAACGATCATGCAGTCATGAGGCCTATTAAGGTATACGAGTAGTACAGCAGTGTTAGGAAAAATTAGGTACAAACAAGCACAGAAAGACTGCCCGTTCGAGATATGACCACAGATGCTGTAGTCTGCTTGTCTGCTTGCTGTCATGTCTCGGCGAAACGACATCTATTCCGCCGCATTTTTCGGTTACTACCACGTTACCACACACTCCAGGCGGCGCGGAAGAAGCGCAGCATCGCGAGGTGGAGAGCACTGGAAACGTTCTTCGAGGGCTATGTACGGCAGCTCGAAAAGAAGAGCCGCGAGGGGGATCAGGCGGGTTTCTACAGGCACCTGAAGATGATCGACGTCGAAGATAAGAGGTCGTTCACCTCTCAAAACATCAAGGACGAGGACGGCAAGGTCCTTCGGGACCCCACGTTTATTCGCCAACGGTGGGCACGGTGGTTCCACAAGCTTCTCAACACCAAGTCGCCGACCATCGACCTGCATGCGGCTGACAAGGTCAAGCCGTGGCCCACGTGCGTGCCACTCGACGACATCCCATCTCTACTTGAGGTTGAGGAAGCGGTACGGGAAATGGCCAACAGAAAGGCCGTCGGGCCGGACGACCTACCGGCTGAGCTGATCAAGCTTTTCCTGGACGGA